CCTTGAAGACTTTTGGAAGCCATCTTGAGCCATTTCGGGACATCTTGAACCATCTTGGAAGCCATCTTGGGCTCTCTGAGGCTCTGTTGGGCCATCTTGGACGTTCTGACCGCTCGCGGCCCCCCCTGTCCAGACCCAGGGGAGGGCCGAACAGGGGAAGGAGGGTGTCGGAAGAGGGAAACAAATTTGACACACAACCTCCACCCAGAGGGCTGGTGGGCATTCTGGTCTGTAGCCATTTGGGCTCAAGGGCTTCCTTCCAAGGACGTACCTCCCTGCGTCGGCCAGCAGCTCCCCAGCGCCCGCGGCGCCATGTCGCTCCGCTATGGGAGCTACGGCGGAGGCCTCAGCGGAGGCGCGGGCGGCCTCGGCGGCGCGTACGGAGCGGGCCGCGGGTATGGCGCCAGCGGCCTGTACGGCGCGGGCGGCGCGTACGGCGCGGGCGGCGCGCGTGGCGCGGGGGGTGCGGACTGCGGCACGGCGTGCTGCGCAAGCACCACCGCCTGCATGGGCTGCGGCCCCGGCTGCGGCGTGGCCTGTGCCGAGGGCTCGGGCTGCGGCGGCGGCGGCGGCACGATTCTGAGCTACGTGGGCCCAGGGGGCGACTACGTCCAGGAGACCACGTACAAGTACGTGGGCATGGGCGCGGGCGAGTTCGGGGCGGTCCGCATCCCTGGGCGCGGCCCGAACTTCTGCCTGATCTGCCTCGTGCCCCTGGGACTGTCGCTCCTCCTGCTGCCCCTCCTGCTCTTCGCGATGTCGCCGGGCTCGACGACGACCACGACTACTACCACACCCGTGATCATCACGACCACTCCGCCGCCCGACACCACGACCACGGAAGAAGACCACCACCACCAAGAAGACCACGACGGCCCCGCCTCCGCCCCCGCCGCCCCCGCCGCCGCCGCCCCCGCCCCCGCCGCCGCCCCCTCCCCCGCCGCCCACGACCACGGAGAAAAAGATCAATTGCGGCGAGGGCGATGTCGTGTCCTGGGACGTGCCCAAGAAGGTATATTGCTGCCTGCACGAGGGCAAGGGCTGCCCGACGACCCCGGCCGCTCCCAGCACCATGCCGGCACCGGTCGTGCCGGTAGTGCCAGTGGTAACCACGTCCCCATGCCCGATTGATTGCAACGCTGGTTACAACGACCTCGACCCGCTGCAGTGGGTCCGCGGCTGGTCCGGCGAGAAGAAGTTGTTCTGCTGCAAGACCGCGAACAAGGGCTGCCCGTCGGAGCTGCCCCCACCCTCCGGGGCGCCGCCTTCCAACGCACCCCCGGAACCGGACAACAGCGTGTACGACTGCGACGCGGGCTACCACCACTGCATGCATTGTCTCGAGCTGTCGTGGTCTCCCAAGAAGATCGGCTACTGCTGCGAGAACTTCCACAAGGGCTGCAAGGGCGAGGAGCCGGAGTGAGAAGCCCCTCCAGCGCGCCTCCGCCGATCGGGGCCCGGGTGCAGGTGTCCCCTTTTTTTGGTTTGGAGCCCGCCAGGCGGGTTGGCAAAGCTACACCCGCCCGCGGGCGGCTTCCGCGCCTCTCCTCGCTCCCTCCTGCCTCCCTCCCTCCTCACATCACTCGTGGGCAGAAAACAGAACATCCGTATCCACGGCCTCGCGGGCCGGGCCCACGGGCCGTGACCCCTATGGAAACCGGATGTTTTTTCATGGCTCCACCGTCTCCCTCCAGCAGAAGGTGCGTCCCACGCCGGGCGGGTTGGCAAAGCTACACTCGCCGCGGCCCTGCATGCCATGGGGCTCCCTCGCACGTGCACCGGAGCGGGCATGCTTCCTCGGGCGGCCGCACGGCCAGCGAGCTGTTCCAACAGAAACGAAGACAAGTCATGTTAGTCAGCGTGGGCCCCAAAGAGTGAATTATTGCACTGAGGGAGGTGAATCATCTGCTGTGTAAGTAATATGCGTGTGGTGTCAGCTATGTGGTGGAGGCTACGCAGTGTACGCTGTGTGGTGTAATCAGCAGAGCTCAGTCGTGAAAGCTATGTGCTGTTAGCAACCTGGTGTGAGCTATGCAATGCGATGCAATGCAAGCTGTGTGGTGCAAGCTTCGTGGTGTTCAGCGCACGGGGCGCCCACGGAGCGCCCACGAGCGGGCACGGGCGCGAAACCTCGGGAAACCCACCCAGCGTCCTGGAGGCCTTCGGGGCCTTTGTGGGCCGATCCGTCTTTGGGCGCCGTTGGTGGCTTTCGGGGCCGTCTTGGAGCCCTTCTGGGCGCGTCATGGGGCACCCTTCGGTCTTTTTGGGGTTGTGTTGACGCTTCAGGAGCCCAGTAGTAGCGAAAGCAAGCGAGAAGTCAAATGATCTCAGCCTCCCAGGGGTATCCTGGGGAGGCTTCGCAGCCCCTTCGAGGCTCCTTCGCCATGTTGACCCATCTTGTGGGCCATCTTGGGCTGTCTGGGGACCCTGGAGGTATCTTGGGCTCAGGCGGACCTCCTGACACATCAGACCCCCGCTCCAGACCCAGGAAAGAATGTAACCGCAGGCGAACCCCTCCAGTCATCGCCTGGCGAGGGTACCAGCGTGCCCGTCTGTCCGAGTCGGCCCAAGACGCTCCCAAGACGGCCGAGGACGACGAGACAAGACGCGACGAGACAAGTCGAGACGAGACGATACCAGGCAAGACCAGACCAGACGAGATGAGCATCAAGGATCGTCGCGCAGGTATTGTTGAGACGTCAGCCAGCTCATGGGCACAGCTCTTGACGCTTCGCGTGCCCCCAACAGCCTGTTGAGCACATATCGCAGACGCCTATGACGAATCACCGCCGCCCCCTGCTTTTTGGAAGCGCCTGTGTGACCGAACGTTGTGACCAGAGCTCGGCCACGCTACCGGACTTTGTCCCCCCCCCCCCCCACACCCGTTGTGGGAACCCTTCGGGGAACACTGGGGGTAGGAAGAAGACGAGGACCAAAGGGAGGAAAAAGGAGAAGGAGGAGGACCATTGTAAACCCAAGACGGACCAGGTGGAGGAAGAAGAGGAGGAACAGGGTGACCAGTTTACACCCAAGACGCATCACAGATGTTGCAATGAACCCTCCCTCCAAGTCCCCTCTTCGTATGTCCTTACAAGAATTTGTTTACTCTGCTGTAAGTGCCCCGTTGGAAGTCAACCGTCTTGGAGTCCTCGGCCGTGCAAAAAGCAAAACCATGTCGGAACACCATTATGCGGGACGTCAACCATGATAATCCGTTACGTGGTTGTGAACTTTTGAGACGAATGTGTGCGGCGCGAAGGCGAGAGTCATATTTTGAACACGAGCCGCCCTCAGTCCGATAAGCTCTTGCACACCTTTGAGAATAATATGCGCGGCGCTACGGCGAGAGCCACATTTTGGAAACCATCCGCCTTCCACCCGTGAAACGCTTGCGACTTTTCAAAACGACTGTGCGCGGCGTTACGGCGAGATCCATTATGAAAAGACGGCCCAGCGTCCATCTGTTAGAATCTCGCAAACTTTTGAGACGAATGTGCGCGGTGCCAGGGCGAGAGTTACAGGTGGAAAACCACCCGAGAACCATATGTTGAAAGCCACCCGCCCTCCATGCGTGAAACGCATGCACACTTTGAAGACGAATGTGCGCGGTGGTAAGGCGAGGACAACATTTTGAAAAGGAGCCGCCCGCCATCCGTGAAGCTCTTGCATTTGTTATGCCACATGTGCGCGGCGCTAAGGCGAGAGCCACATTTTGGAAGCGACCCACCCTCCATCTGTGAAGCCCTTGCCAGTTCGTAAGCTTCAGGATCGAAGCGTGGCAAGGAGGTCTTCGGCGAAACGCCAGGGCCGACTGGCCTCGGGAGGCGTTATGTATAAGAAAAACGAATGGAGGAGGAATATGGAGAATGGGAGGGGGAGGAGGGAGGAGGATGGAGGAGGAATAGGCGGTTGAGGGGGTTGAGGAGCATGAGGAGGAGGAGGAAGATGAGGAGGAGGAAGAGGAGGAGGAGGAGGAGGAGAAGGAGGAGGAGGAAAAGGAGGAGCAGGAGGAGGAGGAGAGGTAGGAGGAGGAGGAGGAGGAGAAGGAGGAGGAGGAGGAGGAGCAGGAGGAGGAGGATGCAGAGGGCGAGCAGAAAAGCCAGCAGCCTCTTGGATGCCTCTCGGAATCTCTTCGGATTTCTTCCAAGAGCTTCTTGGAGTCCCCTTTGGGCGTCTTGGGGGTCTCTTGGCGGTCCCAGGGGCCTCTCGGGGCGTCTTGGGTGCCTCTGGGAGGCTTCCAAGGGCCTCTAAGGGGTCTCTTGGGAGCCGCTTGGGGGCATCTTGGGGGACTTTTGGGACTTCCTGGGCACCTCTTGGGGACGTCTTGGGGCACCCTTGAGAGCCTCGGGGGCCATCTTGGGGTCATCTGGGAGGAGATCGATCAAAGGAGGGGCTGTAGTACATTAGGCACCCGCCCCCAGGAGGCCAACATGTGGTAACATTACTGATTTTGGCTCTTCTCGCCGAGGCCCAAAAAGATGCTCTGACACCTCGCGCCCCCCCCTCCAGACCCAGGCGGAGGAGGTAGGGGGAGGGGTAAACCCATCCCTGAAGGGGAAGAAGGGGGTTCGAAGAGGAAACTCCTTAAACCACTCACGCCCTAAAGGGTAGGTGGGATTTGGCATCCTGGGTGTCTTCTTGGGGGGCTCCGTGGCCACATTGACCTGTCTTGAAGCGGTTTTGGAGCCCCTTGGAGCATTTTGGAACCCATCTTGAGCCATTTCGGGATATCTTGAACCATCTTGGAAGCCATCTTGGGATCTCTGAGGCTCTCTTGGGCCATCTTGGACGTTCTGACCGCTGGCGGCCCCCCCTGTCCAGACCCAGGGGAGGGCCGAGTAGGGGAAGGAGGGTGTCGGAAGAGGGAAACACATTCGTGATACAACCTCCACTCAGAGGGCTGGTAGGCATTACGGTCCGTAGCCATTTTGGCTCAAGGGCTTCCCTCCAGGGACACACCTCCCTGCGTCGGCCAGCAGCTCCCCAGCGCCCGCGGCGCCATGTCGCTCCGCTATGGGAGCTACGGCGGAGGCCTCAGCGGAGGCGCGGGCGGCCTCGGCGGCGCGTGCGGTGCGGGCCGCGGGTATGGCGCCAGCGGCCTGTACGGCGCGGGCGGCGCGTACGGCGCGGGCGGCGCGCGTGGCGCGGGGGGCGCGGACTGCGGCACGGCGTGCTGCGCAAGCACCACCGCCTGCATGGGCTGCGGCCCCGGCTGCGGCGTGGCCTGTGCCGAGGGCTCGGGCTGCGGCGGCGGCGGCACGATTCTGAGCTACGTGGGCCCAGGGGGCGACTACGTCCAGGAGACCACGTACAAGTACGTAGGCATGGGCGCGGGCGAGTTCGGGGCGGTCCGCATCCCTGGGCGCGGCCCGAACTTCTGCCTGATCTGCCTCGTGCCCCTGGGACTGTCGCTCCTCCTGCTGCCCCTCCTGCTCTTCGCGATGTCGCCAGGCTCGACGACGACCACGACTACTACCACACCCGTGATCATCACGACCACTCCGCCGCCCGACACCACGACCACGAAGAAGACCACCACCACCAAGAAGACCACGACGGCCCCGCCTCCGCCCCCACCGCCCCCGCCGCCGCCGCCCCCGCCCCCGCCGCCGCCCCCTCCCCCGCCGCCCACGACCACGGAGAAAAAGATCAACTGCGGCGAGGGCGACGTCGTGTCCTGGGACGTGCCCAAGAAGGTATATTGCTGCCTGCACGAGGGCAAGGGCTGCCCGACGACCCCGGCCGCTCCCAGCACCATGCCGGCACCGGTGGTGCCGGTAGTGCCAGTGGTGACCACGTCCCCATGCCCGATTGATTGCAACGCAGGTTACAACGACCTCGACCCGCTGCAGTGGGTCCGCGGCTGGTCCGGCGAGAAGAAGTTGTTCTGCTGCAAGACCGCGAACAAGGGCTGCCCGTCGGAGCTGCCCCCACCCTCCGGGGCGCCGCCTTCCAACGCACCCCCGGAGCCGGACAACAGCGTGTACGACTGCGACGCGGGCTACCACCACTGCATGCATTGTCTCGAGCTGTCGTGGTCCCCCAAGAAGATCGGCTACTGCTGCGAGAACTTCCACAAGGGCTGCAAGGGCGAGGAGCCGGAGTGAGAAGCCCCTCCAGCGCGCCTCCGCCGATCGGGGCCCGGGCGCAGGTGTCCCCTTTCTTTGGTCTGGAGCCCGCCAGGCGGGTTGGCAAAGCTACACCCGCCCGCGGGCGGCTCCCGCGCCTCTCCTCGCTCCTCCCTGCCTCCCTGCCTCCCTCCCTCCTCACATCACTCGTGGGCAGAAAACAGAACATCCGTATCCACGGCCTCGCGGGCCGGGCCCACGGGCCGTGACCCCTATGGATACCGGATGTTTTTCCATGGCTCTATATACCGTCTCCCTCCAGCAGAAGGTGCGTCCCACGCCGGGCGGGTTGGCAAAGCTACACTCGCCGCGGCCCTGCATGCCGTGGGGCTCCCTCGCACGTGCACCGGAGCGGGCATGCTTCCTCGGGCGGCCGCACGGCCAGCGAGCTGTTCCAACAGAAACGAAGACAAGTCATGTTAGTCGGCGTGGGCCCCGAAGAGTGAGTTATTGCAATGAGGGAGGTGAATCATCTGCTGTGTAATGTGTGTGTGTGTGTGTGGTGTCAGCTATGTGGTGGAGGCTACGCCGTGTACGCTGTGTGGTGTAATCAGCACAGCTAAGTTGTGAAAGCTATGTGCTGTTGGCACCTGGTGTGAGCCTATGTTGTGCAAGCTTCGTGGTGTTCAGCGCACGGGGCGCCCACGGAGCGCCCACGAGCGGGCACGGGCGCGAAACCTCGGGAAACCCACCCAGCGCACGTGGCCCCACGCGCCCGCGAGCGGGCACGGGCGCCCACGAGGCGAAACGTCGTGAAGCCCACCCAGCGAACGGGGCGCCCACGAGGCGCCCGCGAGCAGGCATTGAAGGGGGCAGCGTCCGGGGCGATAGGCTCAGGGGGGGGATGCACCGGCCCCCAATGGCCCCATGATCGGCGATAGGGGGCCTGATAGCCCACCCGGCCCAGGACCGTGCGCATTTGTCATCGGGGGCCTATCGCCGATCCATCGGCGATGTAGTGTCGATTCGACGCCCATGTTTCCCACCCTGACCTTCCAAACGAGGGATGGCAGCCGCCCTATCAGTAGTGCATCCTTTTTCCGTGTCTTGTCAGGTGAGCTGCAGCGCTTCCCACAGGTCCGACGCGATGGCCTTCGGGGGATCTTCCGGGGCCTTCCTGGAGGCCTTCGGGGCCTTTGTGGGCCGATCCGGGAGAGCACCGACGAAACATCAGCCAGAGGCCGAAACATCGGCTCTGGGTGCCGTCTTTAGGCGCCGTTGGGGGCTTTCGGGGCCGTCTTGGAGCCCTTCTGGGCGCGTCATGGGGCACCCTTCGGTCTTTTTGGGGCTATGTTGACGCTTCAGGAGCTCAGTAGTAGCGAAAGCAAGCGAGAAGTCAAATGATCTCGGCCTCCCAGGGGTATCCTGGGGAGGCTTCGCAGCCCCTTCGAGGCTTCTTCGCCATGTTGACCCATCTTGTGGGCCATCTTGGGCTGTCTGGGGACCCTGAAGGTATCTTGGGCTCAGGCGGACCTCCTGACACATCAGACCCCCGCTCCAGACCCAGGAAAGAATGTAACCGCAGGCGAACCCCTCCAGTCATCGCCTGGCGAGGGTACCAGCGTGCCCGTCTGTCCGAGTCGGCCCAAGACGCTCCCAATACGGCCGAGGACGACGAGACAAGACGCGACGAGACAAGTCGAGACGAGACGATACCAGGCAAGACCAGACCAGACGAGATGAGCATCAAGGATCGTCGCGCAGGTATTGTTGAGACGTCAGCCAGCTCATGGGCACAGCTCTTGACGCTTCGCGTGCCCCCAACAGCCTGTTGAGCACATATCGCAGACGCCTATGACGAATCACCACCGCCCCCTGCTTTCTGGAAGCGCCTGTGTGACCGAACGTTGTGACCAGAGCTCGGCCACGCTACCGGACTTTGTCCCCCCCCAGCCGTTGTGGGAACCCTTCGGGGAACACAGGGGGTAGGAAGAAGACGAGGACCAAAGGGAGGAAAAAGGAGAAGGAGGAGGACCACTGTTAACCCAAGACGGACCAGGTGGAGGAAGAAGAGGAAGACCAGGGTGACCAGTTTACACCCAAGACGCATCACAGATGTTGCAATGAACCCTCCCTCCAAGTCCCCTCTTCGTATGTCCTTACAAGAATTTGTTTACACTGCTGGAAGGGCCCCGTTGGAAGTCAACCGTCTTGGAGTCCTCGACCGTGCAGAAACAAAACCATGTCGGAACACCATTCTGCGGGACGTCAACCATGATAATCCGTTACGTGGTTGTGAACTTTTGAGACGAATGTGCGCGGCGCTAAGGCGAGAGCCATATTTTGAACAGGAGCCGCCCTCAATCCGATAAACTCTTGCACACTTTTGAGAACAATATGCGCGCGCCACATTTTGGAAACCATCCGCCTTCCATCCGTGAAACGCTTGCGACTTTTCAAGACGACTGTGCGCGGCGTTACGGCGAGATCCATTATGAAAAGACGGCCCAGCGTCCATCTGTTAGAATCTCGCAAACTTTTGAGACGGATGTGCGCGGTGCTAGGGCGAGAGTCACATGTTGAAAACCACCCGCTTCCCTCCTGGTGAAACTCTTGAATGTGCGCGGTGCTAAGGCGAGAACCATATGTTGAAAGCCACCCGCCCTCCATGCGTGAAACGCATGCGCACTTTGAAGACGAATGTGCGCGGTGGTAAGGCGAGGACAACATATTGAAAAGGAGCCGCCCTCCATCCGTGAAGCTCTTGCATTTGTTATGACACATGTGCGCGGCGCTAAGGCGAGAACCACATTTTGGAAGCGACCCACCCTTCATCTGTGAACATCTTGCCAGTTCATAAGCTTCAGGATCGAAGCGTGGCAAGGAGGTCATCGGCGAAACGTCAGGGCCGCCCTTCCGACTGGCCTCGGGGTGCGGCAGGGAGGAGTTATGCATAAGAAAAACGAATGGAGGAGGAGTATGTAGAGTGGGAGGGGGAGGAGGGAGGAGGACGGAGGAGGAGTAGGCGGATGAGGGGGTTGAGGAACATGAGGAGGAGCAAGATAAGGAGGAGGAAGAGAAGGAGGAGGAAGAGGAGGAGAAAC